CCTGCAGGCCCGCGCGGGCCTCCGGCGTCGAAACCGGCCGCGGCGACGGCGCTCGAGCCGCGGCCGCGCGGCCATCCGGCAAATCCGACGAGCACCGGCGCCGCGCACGGCCTCGCGGTATGTGTGCGCGGCCTCGGTCCAGCGCACGCGCCCGGTGGCAGCGCTGCGCGCGCGGACGGCCGGGTTTCGTTCGCGAGAGCGTTTCGGTGCCATTTCCAACGACCGCTCGTTCGTCGCGCGACGGCGGCCTCCGCACGAATAACTCAGTGGAGACGTGCGCCGCGTCGAGGGCTTTCGGGCGCGCCCGGGGGCGCCTGGAACGGTGGGGCGCGTGGCGCGCGCGCAGGCCTGCGCAGCAAGCGTCACCATCGGCCGTGAAAATGCTCGATCTTAGCAAAACCCGCTGGCGCAGCCCAGCTCCATGTTGAAGTTCAAGTTGAACATGCAGCCCTATGTTAAAGTAACCTGTGGTCGTCAGCAGCCGCCGCCGGGCAGTGTGTGGGCCGCAGGGCTTCACGGATGTGCTCGGAGACCGATGGAGCGGCTTGTCCGGTGCTCTAGGCGCCTCGAATGCCACAGTGGCTCATATGGATATGACCGCCGGCTAAAATTACCGAGAATATACTCAGGACGGTAATGCATAGGTAATTACTAGTAATTACCGCTGCTCCAAATCAGTTACCGAGGATTACGACACCATGGGACTACTCATGTCCATTGATTTTCGTTGCATATAAGCTGGACACCACTCGATTTCACAGAATAGTCGCAAGTTTTGGCTCTATCGACCAGTTTTGATCCATCAGAGGTCACTGCATGACTCGCGTATGCTCAAATGAGTGGTTTGGGGGCGACGAAGCTGATGCCGCGGCCAGCGCCAAGGTCGGCCTGCCCAACCTTGAGTAATTACCAATGAAATTCCCATTTCAAAGGAATTACTGGTAATTACTGCCCTGTATTCTTAGTTACCGAGGAATCCGGCGCCCATACATATGGACCACTCGATGTCCATAACTGCAACATGGGCGTGATGAAGTTCAACATAGAACTACCATACCCCGGCTCGACAGCCATAGGTGGTGTAGCAACGTCATGAATTCCATGGAGGGCATCGGTTGTGAGCTTGTTTGAGCTCTGGAGCTCGAACGAGTCGATTCTCAGCACTGGCACTGGCACCCCTTTTGTTTGTGGTTGATCCGTCTCACGAAACCCCACTTAGGATAAAAAGGAAACTAGCCACCTGGGTACTTGAAATTAGGAAATTAGGCTGGTACTTTCCCCGACTACGCGAGTGTCTTTTGCTTCTGCTTCTTATTGGCATGTCGGGGCTGCCCGGGTGGCTCGGTATTTGCGGGTATCCACGACACTGCTGTCCAAAGCTGGACTTCCCACGTGGAAGGAGTTGTCGCGTGCGTGTTCGGATTGCTCGTCGGCGTCGGTAGGCGCCCTAGCGCCTTCCACTCCCTGCGGGCCGCATCGATGGAAGCTGCAAGCACTGGCGCCGCCGGCGACTCGAGCGACAATGCAAAGGGCGCCGTTTGTAGCGGCAAGAGCACCCCATAGTCTGCGTGGATCATCGGGTCCAGGTGCGCTGGATCCCAGGTCCACGGCGTGAGCCTGAGATCGACTGTTGCGGTGACGCAGCGCTTGTCCGCGCAACCACCATCCTTGTTCTGATGCAACGCCACCACTTCGCCTTTCAGCACTAATGCAAGACTAACGAGACTCAAGCGCGGGTAGGGCAGAGCCTTGGGGTCCCAATAGCCTATGATACCCGGCGTCGGCGATAGCGAGACGTTGTGAGAACTGAGCATGAACGCGAGCTTCCACAGGTCCTTATCACCCATGGATCGGTCTCGCCAGTATGCATCTTGTGGCGCTGCCGCTAGATCCTTCAATCGTGCCAGCGGTGCCTTTGCTGCAATCTTGTCGATCGCAAAGAGGCCGCTGTCGAAGCCAGCCTCTGAGTACCATAGGCCCGTCGGATACATATCCCTCGATGGTGCTGTGACGGCCGCGTGAACTCCTTGGGGCATGCGCTGCTCCGCCCGTATCTTGGCCCAGAAAGTTTCATCCGTCAGGAAGAATCGATAGAAGTCGGGAAAAAACGTGGAACCTACCAGAATGTCGTTGCTAGCTATCGTACCATTTTTTCGGAATAGTTTCCCCATATGACGCTGGGCCTCACCTGTGTGCTTGTAACCAGCGCTGCGGAAGATCGACATCGGATCGCCGACGAACCATGCATCAGCATCAACCCACAGGATATGTCGCGCTGGTGCGTGGAGGACCGCGGCAATCTTCGCGTATCCGTACCCGCCTACCAATTAATCGAAACTGTCGCCAGGTAGTCAGGAAATTATTTCATTCCGGAGACACAGCACAGTGACTCAAGAGGTGCACATCTCGCGCGTCAACGCAAGAGGCATTCGCTACCGTGCGCACACCTTCGTGCTGTTGGCAAGCCTCGAGCGCGTCACTCTCAAACATCATCGCGAGGAATGGGAGTCGCGACGGTGCTGCCGAACGCGCCGCCGCAGCCACACCGTCTAGAAGTGTCCGCGGTTTCGAGGGCCCGTCGTGTGCGTTCGCGCCCCCCACACCGCAGCTCGTAATTATTGCGTACTCGTACCGCCAAGGCCGCCCAACGAGCGCAGGCAATGATGGTTGTGGTTGACGAATATTGGCGATTGCCCCCATTCCCCAAAGAATCGCTAGCGTTGACCAAGGCTGCATTTTCTGTAGGGTATCATCAGAAGCGCCTCAAGCGCCTCAAGAAAAAAGCGCGGGTCGTCCACTACCTTGCCGTTGTTGAAACGTCGTGCGGCAAGACTCCGCGTCGCGGAGTCTTCAGAAAGTTTGTCAGTGGCGTTGTGATTTCAAGGCCTGCCAGCCGCACGACGTTTCAAAAACGGCAAGTTTCCCCTTCGTATCTCCCAAGGCGTCTCCCACTAGCCTGGTGGCCTGTAAAGGCGGCGACAGTCGGAACAGCGTAGTCTGTTCCGCTGAAGTACAAGGGAGAGGACAGGAGAGAGGGAGAGAAGAGGCTTGTGTCTCCCTCATGCAAGGGCCGTACCTGAGCGCTTCGAACCGTATCTTCCCAAACACGAAGCCGATCTTTGGCATATCTCCGGGCCGCAGCCCTGAAATTGTACCGGGATTCACGTTATTTTATCGCTCTGCGGCGCGAGCGATGATGTCCCGCAGATCAAACCGTGCGTACTGGCCTATTTTTTTTGTTGAACTTCTAGGAAGTTAGGATAGTTTATTAGCTTCCTAACGTCGCTATGACGGCAGTCAAACTACTATCCAGCAGGTGCACTGTCCGGCGACTGTGCTACCTCGCTGAGCCTGGTGCTCTCTGGCACGTCGCTGTGACGCTAACCAGACAGATACCACAGACACAGAAGAGCGCTATGCTCTCTGTCACGGTCCCTGCTTGGCAGTCACTCCTTCAGTTCGGTGTCTATAAGACTTGGAACTGGATTAGAATGAATTAAGGAAGGGAAGGGAAACTAGCAACAGGTTCAGCCCCGCAACTCTCCTTAGCATAAACCGTGGAGAATTAAAGTACGAGGGAAGAGAGGAGGGGCCTAACTAGGGAAAACTCTCTACACTTCTTCTCACGAGTTCTTCATATAGAAAATAGTTATATTATGGAAAACTTTGAATCAGAACCAGTCGGACATTCCAGCGATTTCATTGGTCGAGGACAGAAGATAACACGTATTCTTTGTCCGACGCCACACGCTGCGGTACCTGGAAGTTTTTTTGTGAATGGGTGGCCTCGGGACGCCGCCAGGTGCCCTTCATCGCAATTTTGAAGAAAGTGGTGCGTCTCAGACAAAAAAAACTCTGGTTTTTATAGCGCACGCTGCGCCTTCCCTGTAATTCGCAACTCGTAGAGTAAGAATTTGGGAAGCGTAGCGGAGCAGAAGTTTCCACTAATAGCACGGTGGTGTGTTCTGCGTCCGGGAGTTTAGGAAAAAACATAGCGTCTTGCCATCGAAACCAAAATCGACGCGGTCTGGACCGACGCTTCAATTGGGGTATTCCTCAGGTCAATAATATTCTATGTACGCTAACTCGACGCTGGTGCCGCGCGCCGCGCGTGGGACCCCCCCTGGGGGCTTTCGAAACGAATCGAAACACCGTTTTCGCGCGTCAGCGCGCGCGTCTCGGCCAGAAGATTGGTTCGTAGGGTGTACCAAATCCATGCGGACCCGGGCGCGGCGGGTCTGCGCCGTCGGGCGACGTGAGTCGCGCGCGATCGCGGCCGAGTTCGTCTCGGTTAAACGACCGAAGCCGGCGCGCCGCGCGCGCGGACAGACGAACGAAACTCGTAGCCTCAACGATCGTTCGTCGAGTGCGAGCGGCTACGATGATGTGTGGCGTTCGTTCCGGGCTCTGCGGGGCGAGCTAGGCGGTGCCCGCGGGGCTCGACACCCGCGCCTTCGTGCGCGGCCGTCAGCGGTCTTCAAACCGCAGGCGGTGTGGCGCCGCAGCGCACGCACGACGTCAAACAACACGCACGATGTGACCACGTACATCAAGTCTAACAGCACGTCCGTGCACGCACGGGACGACGTCGCCTCAAGCTCACCGCGGCGCATCGCAACCGTCACTTTTGCCCTCACGATTCACGTCGAACGTCAACTTCGACGACACGGTCGACGCCGTTGCCTGGTTTTGCGAGGGGGCGCGCGACCGAGGCGCGGCAAAGGCCTCCCTGGCCCAGTCCCCGCACCTCCGCCCAATATGGCATATTTTCCCGCATCTCATTGCTCTCCATAGCCCTCCTCCCCGTAAAACGAGACGGACAGTTATTGCGTGCGCGAAGCTTTAGCTGTGGTTATCATAACTTGACTATTTTCTATATGTGGTCAAGCATGTGGTCGTTCTCTTCATGAGCAGGGGTGGATTCGCAAAACGGACCAACAAGAAATAGGCGTTGTGTTAGTACTCTGTCGGTCTTAGGACTAGTAGAACGCGTCGAATTTCCCGCGTTGGAGTTCCCTTCGGTTTCTCATGAATGTCCGTTTCACGTCACCATACTTCCGACTCTACGCAGCTACGACAGGCTCGCTCGACAGGCTGACAGTCGCGGTCGCAGTCGAAGGGCACCTCCTTTGGGTCCTGGAGACTGCGAAGAGGCAATCGAAGACAGTGTGCTTTTAAGCCATATAGATGTACATTTTTGAGTCGCTGGCGTCGCGTTCGAGATACTCACGCTCAAGGAGAGACTCGATGCATTTTTTTATAAACTGAGGTTGAGGGAAGAAGCGCTGGCTGAGTTGGCGAGTCACCTACGTATGCGCGAGGGCGGGGAAGCTCGATATTGCATTCATCATTATAATTTAGTTGAATTTCACTCCCGACTCCGAGTCTGTGGGACCTCAGCGATGAGATCGTTGTGCTTGGCATGCTTACGAGCTTTCATTATGCGCACGACGGTTGCCTAGCGATGCCATAACTGACTATGATGATGTCACGAACACAACGAGAACGAGAGCGAGACACAAAAGAAGTAAATCAGAGCCATAAGATGGCCAATTGTAGCCCGCAAATCCACAAATTTACGAAAGATACGGCGATATCAAATTCAGAGAGGATGGGACACCCAAGATTACCTCGCAAAGGTGGCGTCGGTCCTCTTCTACAGCGGCGGGGACCTTGTCCGACGAGTCTGGGTGCGCGCCAGCTTCCTTCATGGCAACAAGGGGCACGCGGACACGTTTCAGCTTAGAAGAATATTTGATGTTGACCTTGAAAGCGTCGTCGTCGGAGACTCCCTTGCCCTTTGACTTCTTGAGAAGGATGCGATGCTTCGGCGTGCAGAGAGAGACGACGTGGCGTTTGAGCTCATTCCGTGGGATTTTAGTCTGAGCGGCGAGTGCCGCAAAGGTAATTTCTGCACCATGGTCCAAGTCATTAAAGAGTACTAAGATGCACATCATGTATGTCGAGACTGTGAGTTCGTGCTTGGCAGCCTGGCTGAAAGTCGCGCGGATTTCAGCGGAGCCAGTGCTCGTAAGCCACGTGAGCTTACGGCCCGTGTGCTGTTTTAGGTAAAAGCTTTCGAAGGGCTCGCATACTGCCTGTGCCGCTGCGGGGAGGCGACAAGTGTTCGTGGCCTGCATGGGCCAGTAGCCAGCCGTGAGCGTCGTGACATCCAAATCCAGGGCGAGGATCGTCGGTCGCACAACGGCGTGTACCTCGGACCCGGGACTCGTGCGGGTGGCTGAACACGTCTGCCCACTGTTGCCAGACTGTGCCGGAGGCGGTGGCATGGCATCACCAGCCGTGGGCGTCCCGCTCCGAGCATCACTGTGTGCGCGGTACTTGTCCATCGCGTCCTTAGAAAATCGTATGTCAGTGAACATACCCTCGAGTTTAGTAGTAAATTGGTATCCACACTCGCTCTTGAGTTTGGCTAGCATAGACCGCTCAGCGTCAGACGGCATCGAGCGAGCATGGAGGAGGCGCTTGGCAAGGTGCTGCTTATAGTATGCCTCAAATACGTCCTTGTCGTTCAGGTAGCGGAAGATTAGGATTACTTGATCGAGCTGTCGCTCGACATCACGCTCGGTCGCGCCCTTAAAGCCGCGACGCATGAGCTCGTCCACCTGTGTGACAGCCGCATTCGAAAGCACCTTCCCCGGGGGGAACAGGTCAAAGTGAATAACGCGGGTAGAGAACATATATGACAAGGCAGCTAGCGCAGCGTGCGTCTGCGTTAAGGAATTGCTCAAAAGCCTCTTTGAGCCGCTTCTGTGCTGCTGTTTCACCACGGAACGCTAGTGTCACAACCGCATCATACTTTGACCGGAGCAGAAGAAGCCCCTCGAGGAAATCAACAGGCATTTCAACGGCAGTATCAACAAGCCTTCGACCTGCATCGTACACATGCTCGAAAAGCGCTCCTCTCAACAGGTCCAGCGTTGCTGGGACCCGACTGAAGAGGGCATACATACGTGCCAGGTCACTCATCCTGTCCTCGCTCATGTCGAGGAGTGACATAAAACCACCGTCACGTGAGTTGATGAGTGATGCCGCGTGCGCCGAGATGAGCTCGGACTCGACTATGTGCTCGAGCTTCGGACGCGTTGAGGCGTGGAGGTAGTTTGGCACACGGTCCTGCTCCTCGTTGAGCCGCGACTCTACCTTTTTGAGGTAGTCGGGGCACGTATTGGCTGCGAGAAATGCGCGCGATTCGTTCCGATAGAACCTGAGCAGGAGCAATGGATCACTTGTGTGGTGGACTGGCACTTTACGCCGGAGGCGCACGACCGTGTCTCCTCAAGGAAGAAGCACTCAAAGTCCTCTTCATACACGCTGCTACTCTCAATCCCAAGATCAGCAAGCATATAAAGCGCGCATCGCATCCCAGTCTGATCGATTAACCTCCCGGCCCGCTCAATCCTCACGTTCTCGAGCAACACACACCGCAGTCGGTCGCGCACATGGTCATGGCGTGTAATCGTTTCACGGAATGCCCGCAGGCCGACATCGTAGACGGCCATCTTTTTATTCTGTGGGACATACCTAAAGCCTGTCCTAAGAAAGAGGGCGGTGCATGAGAAGACCCCGGGGCTCCGCGCGTGCGATCCATGTACATGAGGATATCACGAACCATGACCATGGTCACCTGGTGCTCCTTCCACTGCTCACAGATCTGGCTCAAAAGCTGCTCGTCTGGGCTCGAAGCCACCGCCTCGGCGACCTGCGAACGCTGGGCATCGTCTTCATGACTACAGAGCGTACAAACACAGCGAGGACGCGCTGAGCGGAGTCGCATTTCAACCGTTTCCTGGACTCCGTCGTACAACAGGTCGCCGTGCTTGTGTAGGACGAGATTATACGCATTGCTACACACCAGAATCACTGAGCGCAATCCATTTTATATTCCCGCGCCGCTCGGGCACCGGTACAGTTCCTCAAACGACAAGACAGATGCGTTCTTGTTGTAAATCTCCGAAACAGCCAAGCGAAGCTGCGCCCAGATCCGCTGCGCCTGCTCCGCGTCCATTTGACAGTGTGGCCGAAATGGCCTAAAATAAGAAAGACGATAGGTACGTGAAAAATTGATAGGCGCGAAATGGGAGCCCCGCCCCTTGTCAACAAAACTCAAGTTAGAGATGTTTGCGATCGTATTTGGAGTAGCGCAGTGACGCACTTGATGACAAACTTCCCCTTGGTCGACATGTCTCAACTTATAGACGTCGAGGTTTGACATACGCCACCTTTGGCCACTCGATTCAACGACTACAGAATCTGATGTTTAATAAGGCCGCGATGTGGCGCCTCAGCTCGAGGCAAAAAAGCAATCTGCTTTTCAGCCGTGCGCCGCGGCATCGCCGCGAGCCGAGGAGCCCGTTTGCACCGCTCGAGACACCCCTTCGAGGCATCCCTACGCCGCAACGCCGACGAAAATCGGTGCGGGGGGCGCGTCGGACGCTGCGCGGAAGGGCGAAAAACCTGCTCGGGACGCCCTTTCGGGCCGCGGCGCGCGCGGCGCGGCGCGCGCGGCGCGGCGCGCGCGACCCTCTCGGCGCGCCTTTCGGGTACCGCGACGGCCTCGGGAAGCCCTCGTGCGAGCGAATCGACGCCGGTCGCGCCGAGATCGGTCCGCGAAGACGGGAATTCCCCGATCCCCCGAAACGCGCCCGCGCGAGTTCGCGCCGTTGACGGCGTTGTCGACGATCCCTGGCGGCTGCGGAGCTCATCATTACCTATGAGAGGCCCTGCGAAGCTAATGCTGCGACTCAGAGGCCCGTCGAGGTCCCGCGTCACACCGGTGCTTTTGGGCGGCTTTCGGGCCCGAGAGGCCATTTTTGAAATCGCTGCGGTCGTGCCCCTTTTTGGGCTGGACGACCGGGAGTGGTCGTGGGGAGACCCGCGCGGGCCTTTGAAGTGCGAAAAACGACTCGAATGTCGTCGCGTAAGGACCAATTTGAGGCTGGGAAAACCTATAGGGATCGAAAAACCACGTCCCTAAATCCCGTCGATAGCTGTGCGCGCCCGCCTCGCGCTGTAGAAACCCGACAGGGGCCTCGGGCTACCGCCCGGTAGTCTTGGATCGGCTGCAGGCGTCCGTACGGGCGCGCACCGTCGCGGTGAGCTGAGGCGCGGTCCTTGACTTCTGTAGGATATGAGTTTACCCGACATTTGTAGTTCGTATGTCGGGTTAGGCGTCGGGTTGGGTCGAGGCGATCCTGGGGCAGCCTTTCGGGACTCTATCATTGTGAAACACCGAATGCGCTGATGTTCCGGCCCTGATGTTCCGGTAGAGGTCTCGCGGATGTTCCGGCTTCCGGCTCTCCCGGGCCCCTCGGTCGCGTGTTCCGGTTCGCGTCCTCCGGTCGTGTTCCGGCGTGTTCCGGCGTGTTCCGGTGTTCCGGTAGATTTCCGGTCGGATTTGTCTTCTCAACTGCCCGTTCACGGCACGCTTAGTGCGCGTCATGAGACAGGGACTTCAGACCTGGGCGTCAGGCCCCTGGGGGCTGGGCATCAGGCCAGGCAAATTACGCACGGCGCCCTACCTAGGGCACAAAAACCAAATTACCCTGAGGCGAGGCACAGGTCGTCGTCAGTGCACAACAGGTGCGCCAAATTTATCTAGAGTAGTAGCAGCATCGTCGCCGCCGCCGCCGCCGCCGCCGCCGCCGCCGCCGCCGCCGCCGCCGCCGCCGCCGACGACGACGACGACGACGACGACGACGACGACGCGCGCGTGGGTATTCGAACCTACACCGGACAGAAAACAGCACAGGGGAGGTCAATATCGTTCGATGTGTCAAACTGTAACGGCAATATATACGGGGCTGCCAAAATCGAATCGGGACGCGCACACCGCAGCCGCAGAGATCGAATCCGACAGCACGAACTCCTCAGACATGTCCG